GACAAATGTTTAGTTTTAAGTAGTAATAGGAATAGGATAAGAAATAATAAAAATAGATTATAAATCAATTTTAAGCCAAACCCCGGAAATGTCCCTAATAGAGACGCTTTCACAAATCTGAAGATATACCTGAACCAATAGTGTCATGAAATCCTTAAACTCTGGACTTGCTATAAATACCTTGAAGATAGTTTCTATCACAGAACTTTGTTTAAAACCAAATGGCAACCTAGAACCAGAAAAATAATATTCTCCGCAAACTTGTCAGCTCAAAATAGGAAGCACATTCTTCCATCCTTAAAACGTAGACTTAAACTCTATGCTTATGCTGCCGAATATACCATGCTAGTATGGGTGACAAAAACACATACTTAACACGTAAGTATATTTAGCTATAAATTAGTCAGTCATCAGATCATCACATCTGCAAGATATACAAAAAAAATATAAGCTGCTCCTCGCCATCTGAACCCTCGAAAGGAACTTCCTTATGGTTGTTCTTCTTCTTCAAGTGCCCTGTCCGTTGCGAACGTTGGCTATTAACATGGCAATTTTGATCTTGTTTGCGGCGCTTCTGAATAGTTCGACCGATGTGAGCCCGAACCACTTCCGCAGATTTTGGAGCCACGAGTGTCTTCTCCTGCCTGGCCCTCGCTTACTGTCTATTTTTCCCTGGACAATCAATTGTAGCAGACGGTACTTATCGTGTCTCAATATGTGGCCTAGATATTCAAGCTTTCTTTGTTTAATTGTATTCACGATTTCTTTCTCCTTTCCGATTCTTGGAGTACCTCTATGTTGGTGACATGTTCGGTCCAGGATATACGAAGAATGCGTCGGTACACCCACATTTCGAATGCTTCTAGTTTTCTCGTTAGCGTCTCCGTCAGCGTCCAGGCCTCCACGCCATACAGCAAGATCGGAAAAATGTAGCATTTAACTATACGTAGTTTTAGGGGAAGAGACAAATCCTTGCTTATGAGGAGCTTTTTCATATTGCTAAATGCTGCTCTAGCTCGTTCTATTCTCGCCTTAATTTCTATGGTCTGTTCCCATTTTGCATTTACGTTGGTGCCAAGGTACACATAAGACTCTACATGGTCAATTATTAATATGTTACTTATCCGTAATTGTCGAGCAGGTTGTTGCTTTTTGCTTATCAGCATCCACTTTGTCTTCTTGAAATTGAGGCTCAGGCCGTATTCCTCGCTAACTGAATAAGGTCTTTCCATTACTTGTTGTAATTCGTCTATGGTACTGGCAAGGATCACCGTGTCGTCGGCGTATCTTATATTGTTCGTTAACTCTCCGTTTATTTTAATGCCCTCATTTGCATTTTCCATACATTTGTTAAATATTTCCTCGGAATACATATTGAATAGGAGTGGGGATAATATACATCCCTGACGGACACCTCTTTTGATCTGCACGCTTTCAGTGAGTTCGTTGCCAATTTTTGCTCTTGCTGTTTGACCCCAGTATAGGTTTGCCACAATTCGAATGTCCTTGTCGTCAATACCTGTCTTTCGCAGAATACCTATCAATTGTTCATGATTGACATTGTCAAATGCTTTTCTAAAATCTACAAAGCACAGATACACGTCTTTATCAACGTCTCTACACCGTTGTATAAGCACCTGGAGAGCGAAAATTGCTTCTCTAGTTCCAAGTGCTTTCCGAAAACCAAACTGCGATCTATCAATATTTGACTCACATTTATCATATATTCTTCTGTGAATGATCTTAGTGAACGCTTTAGTGACATGATTGATCAAGCTTATAAGCCGGTAGTCATCACAAATCTGGGCATTTGGTTTCTTCGGGATTGTAATAAATGTTGACTGTAGCCAGTTCTCCGGGATTTTACCGCTATTATATATGTTGTTAAAAAGTACAACTAGATTATCAAGGAACTGTTTGTCTGATTTACATAGGATCTTTAATATTTCGCAGGGTACATTGTCCGGACCTGCTGACTTATTGTTTTTTAGTGCTGCAATGGCATCTTCTATCTCCGATTTAAGAATTGAAGGTCCTGTTTCTCCTTCTCCATATAGGTGATCATCATTCCTGTTAGATGCAAATAATTTTTCTATGTATGATTTCCATGTTTTTAAGATCGTTGATGGCTCCGAGATAAGATTTCCATCGCTACCTTTTATGCTGTTGGGTGACTTATTGAATTTCCTCTTGTTTGTCATCGATTTTATTTTTTTGTGCATATTGTAACTGTCGTATTTTCGTTCGTATTGTTCTATTTCCCTGCATTCGTTGGAAAACCATTTTTCTTTGGCTTCTCGAATTTTCGTTCTTATGGTTTTGTGGATCTGCTGGTATTTTTCTGCATTTTTATTCTTGAATTTACGTCTTTCATCCATCATATCCATTATCTCATCAGACATCCATTCTTTCTTTTTTCGTCGGTCACGCTTTAATAGAGTCGCGCATGTTGTTTTAATTGCTTCCCTCGATTTATCCCATCTCTCTATTATGTCCGACGTGTTCTCGTTAATGTCCTTTATTTTCTTTCCTAGTTGTTCTCGTACTTTTATTTCGGTTTCTGGGTTAGTGAGTTTTTTAATATCGATTGTGTTTAAATTAGATCTTTTCTCGAGCCGTTTTACTCTCATGACCATTCTGCATACCAACACATTGTGGTCCGTATGAACATCGGCACCTGGGTACGTTTTTGATGATTTTATCATGTTTTTATATCTTGTTGGTACTGCTATATAATCTATCTGATTTCTAATGATGTTGTCAGGTGAGTCAGCGGGGGATTTCCATGTGTAAAGTCGACGTTTGGGGAGCTTGAAGAGTGTATTACTTAACAGCAGGTTATATTCCTGGCAGAAGCATATAAGTCTATCACCTCTGTCGTTTCTCTCCCCTAGGCCGAAGTTTCCCACGATCTCATTCACCTTGCCTCTGCCAACCTTTGCATTGAAATCTCCCATCACTATTGTTACTTCATGATTTTTTGTCATTTTCATCAGGCTTCCCAGTTGTTCGTAGAATTCTTCGCTGGTTGCCTCATCTGCTTCATCTGCCGTTGGCGCGTATACCTGTAATATATTAATATCCACCGGTGTTGCTCGAATTTGTAAAAGCATCATTCTATCTGAATGGGGAGTGAAAGATTTTACTGCCGAATTAATATGTCGGGCAACTACTGTTGCAGTGCCGTTTCTGTGATGTTTTGTGTTGTTTCCAGCATAGTAAACTTTATATCCAAGTATATCGCATTGTCCAGAGTTGTTGGTTGTTATCTTCCTTAAATTTGCCTGGAGGACTCTTGCCTGCAAACACCGGTTAACCTGTGTGAATGTGGGGTGGTATAAGATTTATCACACTTTCTTAGTTGACTTTTCCATTTAAATCGCTCTTTTCTGAAGGGACAAGGTTTATTTATTTGAACTAAACATGTTAAGTATAGCCAGTAAGCTTTTACTTATAAAGATCATTGCAAATTTGAAACTAACTCCACTTATATTGATAACATATTACCCCTAAATAGAAAATAAAACATTCAGAAGTATGTAATATTGGAGAAGTGGTATAATGCTTGTTAGATAAATTCTTTGTTTTTTTGTGCACTACTACCCATTTTTACACAAAAACATCTATTTTAGCACTTAAATATTTATTTTGAGATAACCTTTTATCCAAACTTAAATGTAGTACATAGATAAAACCAGAAATAAAATAATAAAAAAGCTGTATACAAGATATCATAAAACAATGGATGAAATAAAAGAAGTTCTTATTAATCGGATTCTTAAATAAAACTTATGAAGACATATTCACGTTAACAAAATACATTAGGAAATTTCCGCATATGAAACAAAATCCAATTTGGTAATGAAATCCTTTTGTATCTATAAAGCTATTTTTAGAGAACTCGTACCTACCAAAAACAGGTAGTTAATAGTATACATATCTGTTACACACTGTAATGCGTATGAATGATAACAAAACTAAGGAGTCCATATAAACCGTCCAGACTTTACGCGAGAATTATACATCTTACAGCAGAGTTGCCAAACTATCAGAGCTTACTTAAACCGATATACATATGGTTCCAATATACAGTGAAAAAGATCTGAACGACCCCTATAATATATACACGTGAACTAAGCGATATACATTTATGATACAGGGATAATTATGGGCTCCAAAATTTTTTTAAAAATTATGAAACTATACATGTTGACGAATCGACAGAGCCAATATTATGGAATGGTCAAGTGAGCTCCGTATATCGGTGTCCACTTGACCACGGAGCTCACCTGAACCTGAATTTTAACATGGGCGGAGTCCACTTTATGCCGTAAATATATATATATATATATATATATATATAAAGAAAAATCAGTGGACGATTCGAACGACTTGTTACATCAAACATGTAAGTTAAAAGTTATATTTAACTTACTACCTTAGTTGTGTTTGGTAATGAGAAAGACACACGGTCAATAAACTCCACCCATTTTAAAGAGATGTAGTGACCGCTTTGCACCCTTTTTCTCTGTCGCACTAGGGGAACGGGTCTTTATAGCCAAAACAGTAGAAAAATTAAAATAACCTAGTTGATGATTTAGTAGTATAAAAGCAAAACAAGAGAAAATATTTTTGTTTGAATTATTTTTATATAACAGAACCACATTTTACTTTTTTTCTACTTTTTTTTTTACTACCACTAAAAATTTCTATGATATCTACGATATCCAGTCAATTTATATCACTTTATTCTCCCGAAACAGTTGTTAAACAGAATAATTGATTGAAATAAATTAAGCATATCTAAAATTCCATTTTATTTCTACAAACATTTAATTTTCCTGAAATATATGTTTAAAGTTACAATGGTTAGATCAGATGACTCGATGATATCTTTCTGTCTGTGTAATGTATATTAAAAAATTACACCCAAAAGTTAATGTTTAAAACTTTTATGTAAATAATGTTTAATGAATGTTAGTGCTGTTGATGATTATTACCATAATATCTCCCCCTGCTTCTTTGTAATCGGCATAATCCAACCCATTGCTACCGTAACTGATACGGTACTCCATGACGTACTCGTTACTGTGGGGCCTACCCTGAGTCCATATCCTCGTCACGTTCATCACTTGGCCCAGATCGAATATCAGGTATTGGTCAAAATCGCTGTCGTGGGCACTCCAAGCATTGCCACCTTTTTTAGTATTATTTTAAAATTTAAATTTTGAAATATTATTATTTACTTAAATTTAACATATAACACAAGTGTCCCTAAGCGTATAATTAGTTGCCAATTTTTTAATCAATGTGATATGTTAATTTTATAATTCAAACCATATTAAAACTGACTTTATCGTTTGAAGATCATGTAGAAAATGCAAACAATTGTAAAAATATACTACGATCAAGATGTAAACTCACTCACTGATATTCGCATTATGCCCGTTATTTGATCTTAAAGGCAAGAATTCACTAATTCACTAATCATTTGATTATAGATATACATTTGATTATATATATGTTAAAGAAAAACTTAAGATCTAGTGATATTAAAATTAATGGGAAAATCCCAGTAGTTGGCTGTATACCATAGCTGTAGCTAACACTTAAGCTTACAGTTGATATAATTAAGCTTGCTATAATGAGCCTGATGAGCCATTTTCTGAAAATTTTACTAAAAATTGTATATTAACGAATATACAGAGAATGCGAAAGAAACCTGAGCGACAATCAATTTGGATTTCGGATGGGACTTGGTACAAGGGAGGCATTATTTGGCCTCTAGATATTATTACAAAAATGCCGAGATCAGCGAAAAAAGTGTTTCTCTGTTTTATCGATTACGAAAAAGCGTTTAATAGAGCAAAACACACAGAACTCATAGAAACCCTAACACAACCTGGTAGCACTTATTAAAAAACTATATTGGGATCAAATGGCGTCGATCAAAATAGACAATCGTCTGACAGCAGAATTGCCAATAAAAACAGGAGTTCGTCAGGGTTGTGTACTTTCTCCACTGTTATTTAATATATATTCCGAAAAGATCTTTCAAAATGCCCTCGAAAATATTGAAGAAGGAATAAAAATCAACGGAAAATACGTAACAACTAAGATACGCAGACGACACCGTCATTATTGCGGACAGTGCTGAGGGTTTAGATTAGTTTAGATTAATAAGAAGTAGAGAAATACCTAGAAACACTGGGAATAGAAAGATGGAAGGACAAGGCTACTAATAGGAAGAAATGGAAAACAATAACATCTCAAGCCATGGGCCTACTAGGCTTTTAATGCTATTATATAGCTTTAAGTTGTTTCTCTGTGTTTCTAGCAGCAAATACTGAAGAGCCAAATTGACCATACTGTCATCAATATAAAATTAATGGGAAAATTTGAGGAATTGGCTGTATACCATAGCTAAAAAACTAATACAGAAGTAAAAACTTCAAATTTGTATATTGGTATAAAAATAATATATTTTTTAACTATGGTATACAGCCAACTACTGGAATTTTTCCAATAATTTGGAAACGTAAATGAAATGAGGAAATAGTTAATACCAATCCTTAACTAATAGCCGTTGAGAATTTAAACCACGATTAAAAATTTGTAAAGGCACTAACGTTGAAATTCTACATGATAAAAACTCAGTTTTTAACAGATGAGCACAACATTTTAGACAACATCCAAATATAAACGATGTTGAAGGAAAATCTACAACGTTAACTACACAGTGAAGACCCAACAAAATAAGAAGTGCCAAATGCCATCCTAAAACTCAAAGACAATAAAGCCTCAGGAATCGATGAAATCTGTTCGAACATGTATAAAAAAGGTGGTGATCAACTTTTTGCAGTAATCCATAAACTAATAGTACTTATATGGCAGACTGAATTGGTACGAGAAGAGTGACTAAAGGGAATAATATGTCCGTTGCAAAAAAAGGGGATCAACTGGAGTGTAAGAACTATAGAGGCATTACTCTGTTAGCCTCTGCGTATAAAATCTTTGACAATGTATTGTTTGAACATTTTACAAAGGATATTGTTGGTCAATGTCAATGCGGATTTACTGCTGGAAAGTCAACTAAACATCAAATTCAAGCACATAGGCAGATTCTAGAAAAGTCACTAGAACATAAAATAAAAACACACCATCTCTTCGTCGACTTCAAAGTAGCCTATGACAGTGTAAAAAGAACTGCATTATATAATGCAATGATAGACTATAGGATCCCATCTAAGTTAGTTAAGTTGACCCAATTAACAATGCAAAACGTAAGATCATGCGTTAGAATTGAAGGAGAAAACTCTACGTTCTTTGACATTAATAATGGTCTAAAACAGGAGACGCGTTGGCGTGTCTCCTCTTTAATATACTGCCCTGCTAAGCTGAAAGGTCCTAACTGACAAAATTGCAGTTTTAGTCCTAACGGTACTGGGTGGTAGCGAAAAGCATTCTGTATCTTCCTTTCAAAGCTGAGCTGTCCTAACTGTCATTAAATAGCTGTTCTGAAGTGATGCTTGTTGTCCTAAGTTCAAACTAAAACCTGATTACTAAGCATTACGTCCTATCTGAGCTTTACAAACCTGAAGTGTCCTATTGTAACAGATCGGACAGTCAGTATTGTAATATGTAATGCTACCCAAAATCTAACATGCTCTAAGTGACAGATAGGACATATTCAGCATTGCACCTTAAAACAACATAACCTAAAAAATCGAAAGTGTTTGTTTTCGGTAGTTTTTGGTCTTGAACCAAAGAATATAGACGCACATGCGTACATATGTTTTGCTTGAACATATAGTCTTTTCCACCTACCGTATCTCATTATCATCGGGAGCATGTTCCAAATCGTTTATACATACCATCGGATATTTCAATTACAATGGTGTATAATGACTACAAAATAAAGAATCCTGATTGTCATGGTAGTTATGAACTCTATCGTCAGTAAATTGCAAAACTCAACATATCGTTTGTACACCTTGACTGTGAAGAGTGCTTCCAGTGTGCATCATATGGTCTCCATAAGACTGAAGCCAATCATATTAATCCAACACAAAATTGTGTACTGTGTAAAAACTATGTATCTTACAAAAATAAATATATTTACTGCCAGAAAAAGTATGACAAAGATGCGGAATCGCAACTAAAATCATCAGATCTCATAGTTTCAGCAGATTTTCAGAAAGTGAATGCTTTCAAGAGTAGATATGTTTAAAGAAGTCATTTTTACTAGTCGCATAATTGCTTTTAACGGAAGTTTTGTTGCTGTCGGGAAAGGTAGGGACGTCTGTCCTTTAGGAATTCTGTGAGACGAAGGAATATCAGAAAGAAGAAAAGAATATATAGTGTCTACTTTCTACGCATTCTTAATAAAAAACAGGGATAAAGAGTCAATAACAATTTGGCTGGATAATTGCTCGGAGCAGAACAAGAATTGGGATTTGTTCAGCTTTTTTGTCTATATAGTAAATACTACAGAATTTAACTTAAATAATTAACCATAAAATATTTGAGCGCGGACACAGGCTTATGTCCTGCGTCCGCGCGATACGATCGAAAGCCTTTGTCAGGTCTATAAAACATAGATATGCCGGTTAATTGTACTCGATGACCTTTTCTGTGATTTGTCTTAGTATAAATACGGCGTCTACGCAGGATCTTCTGGATCGAATCCTTGTTCATCTGATAAAGTTGTTAGTTTATTGATTTTGTATTGATAATTGTTGGGGTTTTTTTATCTCCTTTCTTGAACATTGGTCTCATTATGCTGTTTCTTCTTGCGTCTGGTATCTTGCAGTGCAATATTAGTTTTTGTATAAGTTTTATGATCTCTAGGGTTATACTTTCTCCTCCGTGTTTTAGCAGCTCGTTGGTTATTCCATCTGGTCCTGGTGACTTTCTATTTTTGAGTGAATTTATGGGTATCTCTACTTCCTGAAAACTGATTTCTATTTCGTATCTTAATTCAGGTACGTTATTGTATTTGATTACTATTTTCCTTTCTTTTAAACAGTTCCGTCAGGTATCTTTCTCATACGTTTGCTGGTATGTTATTGTATTCCTTCAATTCTGCCATTTCTTTCCGTTGGTTTCTTATGAATCTCCATATTTGTTTTTGTGTACCATAGAAGTCGCTTTCCATCCTTTTTGTAAACTGTTTTCAGTGTTCATTTTTTTTTTGTTCTCTTACCAACTACTTTGTTTCATTTCGTATTCTTCTATAAGTGTATCGGGATTCTGGAGTATTGTTATGTTTTGTACTTCGTGTAGGCCTCCCGTTTCTCTTTACATTTGAACCATGGTGTATTGTTGCTGTTTCTTTTGTTCAGGATCACTTTGCGTTTTCCTGGAGCTTCTGTTGCTACTTCTTCAATGTTGTTCTTAATTATCTCCCAGCTTTTATATCTTCGATGTCGCCTATTTGTTTCAGCTGTATCTTCTGTGCTAGCCTCTTTGGTACATTTCTCTTGGAGTTGTTCTCCAGTGATTCTACATTGCATTGAAAATGCTTTGGAACGATATAATATTGTTACAGGGAAAACGCAAATCACTAATTTAAATATTAGTTATTAACATAAGTAATAAAATGGCGGCAAATATACTAAAAATGAATCTACAGAACTAGTTTTCGTAGGATATAACTTGTCAATATGAAAATATTTCACCTTGTACATATATAATTCTAAAAACCTACAGATTTTATGAAATATTTAATGACGTATCGGCCATAAAAGTAAACCGAAATAAGACAATTAAATAGTAGTGAAAGTGTACCCTATAAAATTGATAGTCAATAAAAAACTCATAAAATACATTTGATTTGATACCAGTAGCTCAAACTTTAATATACATATGATATTTTTAATTCGCAATTTCCTATATCATAATTAAATCAGTTTTAATATGCATTGAATTGAGTTTGTACACCTAGCTTTCATTCTTTTACACAAACGATCTGATCTCTTTATGTTACTTTAAGTAACTGTACCAAAATCAAAGACATGTGTTCTTACTATGACGAAAAGATATCTTAGCATATGGGTACCCACTATAATGTCGGCACTGGATATGTTAATATTGTATTTCAAAGTGAAACCACCCAACAATAATCTCTTCAGGAAATGCTGTGAGTGAAGGGATCAAGTAACCTATATTGTTGGAGTTCAGTTACCTTAAGACAAC